ATAACAGAAGGAGAAATCAAGAAAACAATCCTGTTTATAATGACAGCAAAAATAATAAAATATCTATGAATAAACTTAACCAAAGAGTTGAGAGACCTGGAGTCTGAAAACTATACAACACTAATGAAAGACACTGAATATGCCACAAAGAAATGAAAAGACATTCCATTCTCACGGATTAGAAGAATACATAACGTATTACCCAAAAATGTCCGTATTACCCAAAGCGCTCTACAGATTTAATGCAATCCCTATCAAAATACCAACAGTATTTTTCACAGAACCAGGACAAATAATCCTAGCATGTGTATGGAACCAAAGAAGACCCCAAATAGCCAAAGCAGTCTTGAAAAAGAAGGAAACACAATCCCAGATTTCAAGATACATTACAAAGTTAGAGTAATCAAAACAGTAATGTACTGGCACAAGGACAGACAGACGGATCAGGAGAACAGAACACAGAGCCCAGAAATAAACCCGCGATTATATATTTGATGCATCTTTGACAAAGGAGGCAAGCATATACAATGGGAAAACCAGAGTCTCTTCAAACAAATGGTGTTGGGAAACGTGGACAGCTACATGCAAAAGAATGAAACAGGATCTCTCTTTTATACTGTACATAAAAATAAATTCAAAATGGATTAAGACTTAAATGTGAGACAGGAAACCATAAAAATCCTAGAAGAGAGCATAGGTAGTGATTTCTCTGACACTGTCCGTGGCAACATTTTTCTAGATATGTCTCCTGAGGCAAGAGACACTACATAAAAAATAACCTATTGGAACTACAAGAAAATAAAAAGCTGCATAGGAAAAGAAACCATCAACAAAAGTAAAAGACAACCTACTGAATGGGAGAAGACATTTGCAATTGACTTTTCCAATAAGGGGTTAGTATCCAAAATATATAAAGAATTAATACAACTCAACACCCAAATGCCAAATAATCCAACTAAAGAAGGCATGAAGAGACATTTTGCCAAAGAAGAAATGCAGATATCTGGCCCACAGGCACATGGAAAGAGGCTCAACATCACTCATCATCAGGGAAATGCAAATAAAAACCACGATGGGATATCACCTCATTCCTGTTTGGATGTGGAAAAAAAGGAACCCTACTGCACTGTGCAGCCACTGTGTAGCACAGTATGAGGTTCCTCAAAAAATTAAAAATTATAAATTCTGTAAGATTTAGTAATTTTATTCCTGGGTATTTACCCAAAGAATATGAAAACACAAGTTCAAAAAGCTACACGCACCCCTGTGTTTACTGCAGCATTATTTACAATAGCCAAATTATAGAAGCAGCCCAAGTATCCATTGGTAGATGAATGGATATATGGATGGATGGATAATGTTACGCAAAATAAGTCAAAGAGACAAATACCATATGATTTCACTGATATGTGGAATTTAAAAAACAGATGAACAATGAAAAAAAGTGACAAATAAAAAACCAGACTCTTAACTACAGGGAACAGACTGGTGGTCACCAGAGGGGAGGTGGGTGAGGGATGGGTGAAAAAGGTGAAAGGGAGGAAGCGTACACTTATCGTGATGAGCACGGGGTAATGTACAGAACTCTTGAATCACTATATTGTATGTTTGAACTTATATAAAGTATACCGTATGCTAACTATACTGGAATTAAAAACAAAGTTTAATAGGTACACTCAACTATGGGAACCATTCAAAATTAGCTTCGGCACCACTGTTGAGTAAGACCTTGGTACGATGAACCAGGTGGTCACTTAACTAGCATTCAAAGACTCCATTACGACATTAAAACACTGATAGATTTTCATGAAAATAATTCGGTTACCATCTACACCAGACTAGGTCTCATTAAATTCGATTTTAGCATTGCATAATTGCTGAGTTTGTTTTCCAGGTACAATTTATCTGTGGGGACTGCCATTTATTTTCATCTTCATTTTGACATTTAAGAAACAATGATCATGTGGGGCACCTGGGTGGCTCAGTCGGCGAAAGCGTGTGACTCTTGGTTTCGGCTAGGGTCATGATCTCACGGTTGGCGCATTCAAGCCCCGCATCGGGCTCCGCGCTGACAGTGCAGAGCTTGCTTGGGATTCTCTCTCTCCCTCTCTCTGCCGCTTCCCCCCACTCATTCTCTTAAAATAAATAAACTTAAAAAAATTTTAAAGAAGCAATGATAAGGTTATGTCAGAAAGCGCGTAAGAATTGCTGGGAACACGTCAGAACAGGTGCCAGCCTGAAAAGGGATCACGTCAATAAAATGCATTTGCATTATCAATGAGTCCATACTGATGGCCAATACAAAAAAAAAAAACATAAAGGAGAATGCCAACTAATACATTATGAATAAATGGAGAGAAAATCACCATTTTCCAACCATCACATTGGCATTAATGGCAACCAGATACAAAAGGAGTTTGATGAACAGATTATATATACGTGGTCTCAAGATATATTTCACTGATTTCTTATCCATACCATACATTTTTTATGAACAGCCAAGGGAAGATGAGTAACTTTACAGGAAAAAAAAAATCAAGGAAATGTCACCTGAACCAAGTGATGCAGTTTGACATGACCAGTAACTGGATACCGGGACATCAGGTGCACCCTGACATGAGGCAGTGCAAAGAACACAACATCTGGTATATGGTGTTCTTGCCCACAATGAATAAACTGGATCTAATCATGAGGAACCATGCATTCCATAAAAGAACTGGCCTATAATCCTCAGAAACATCAATGTCATTAAGCAGGAAGGGAGACTGCTCTACAATGAAGCAAATGAAGGATGTGTGACAAAGTAATGCAGCTCCTGGTTGTGGACTGGGTCCTGCAAAAGGAAAGACACAGGTGGAAAGGAAATTATAGAGACTATGGTCAAAGTTTGTGCACGGATGAGAATCAGAGAACAGGGTCGTGCCAACATTACATTCCCTGATTTTGATAACTGTATCAGGCTCACGCAGCCTTTATCCTTAGGAAATATGCACCATGATGCTCTGGGCTACACGGGCGTGAAACTGACAACTCAGTTTCAAACAGTTCAGGAAATTATGCAAGTATTTTGTATACAGGGGCATGTGTATGTGTGTCACCTGTATGTGTATGCACAAAAGAGCAAAGAGGAAAGAGACAAGAGAGAGAGATGATAGACAGAGATGAACAGACAGATAGATGATAGAAAGTGAAAGGAGGAGAGGAGAGGAAGAAAAAGAAAAAGAAAAAAGAGAAGAGAAGAAGGAACGAAGAAATACAGCTAGGAAAATGTGGCAAACAACGTATCCAGAATTCGGTAACAATTTTTAGTCGGTTTTACACTACATTTAGACACGTCTATATGTTTGATTATATATCAAAACAAAAATTGACGAAAATAAAAGTAGGGATGAAAATCAGAAAAAATTAAAAATATGTCGTATGTCAACTATGCCTCAGTAATAAATTTTTTAACAAACCTGAGTAATTACACATGCTTGAGGAACTGATAACTTGCATTTTAGTGCATCCTGACTAAATTTGGGGATGAATTGAGTTTCATGATGGATCTTGCTTTCTGACAGATCTTTGCTCTGTCCTATCAGGCTATCTGTCCTATCAGGCTTATGAGGAACATAAGTCAGGGTCCAGGAAAGCAGAAAGGAAGAACACGAATTTACGGAAAACTTTAACAAGAATACCTGTTTATACTCTCTGTAAGCAGAATGCCTTGTAACACAAAGTGTGCTGAAACTTAACATGATTAGCCGGAAGCATGCCTAATAATATTTAGGTTTCTCCCACTGTTTGGGAGTGCAGTATTTGATGCACAATGTCTGGGATGCCTAAACTTTTTTTTTTTTTTTTCCCCTTTATCTCAAGGGTTCTTTTATTTTTTTATTTTATTTTTATTTTATTTTATTTTTTTTAATTTATATATGAAATTTATTGTCAAATTGGTTTCCATACAACACCCAGTGCTCATCCCAAAAGGTGCCCTCCTCAATACCCATCACCCACCCTCCCCTCCCTCCCACCCCCCATCAGCCCTCAGTTTGCTCTCAGTTCTCAACAGTCTCTTATGCTTTGGCTCTCTCCCACTCTAACCTCTTTTTTTTTTTTTTCCTTCCCCTCCCCCATGGGTTCCTGTTAAGTTTCTCAGGGATGCCTAAACTTCTTAACGCCAATTGCAAAATTTCTGCAAAGTCCAATGCCAAATGTAAAACCTGGAAACTATCAAGCTTTTCTAGATTTGAATTAATACACGTTACAATGTGCTTATTTATTAATGGTGAACTGTAATATAATGTGGTGTGAGCTTCTTTCCATGGTCATTCTCAATTTTGTGAACTATGTTCTCTGAAGTAACATTATTAAATGAAATATGACAATAAGAATTAATGCAAACAGCTTCCAGTGACAGAATGCAAACTTAGTTATATGTATACAATGTGCTCAGACTGTTCACAGAGTTCAATGTCACCGGAGAACTTTCAGAAATGATATCAGCATGACATACACATTTGAGGAATTTAGGCCAGAAATAGTGGGTGCCAACACTCTATGCGGAAAACGCATCCTATGGTTCCCCTGTCTGTGGAAGGAGTAGAGGTAGGAAATGGGCTGAATCCCATAAATGGTGATTAAGGTCCTTATTTCTGAATAGGCTTTAAGGATATTATGAGTAAGTGCGCTTTCACAGATGAATGGATAAAGAGGATGTGGTAGCATATATACAATGGACTATCAGCCATAAGAAAGAACAGAACCTGCCATTGGCCACAACATGGATGGAGCTAGAGAATATAATGCTAAGTGAAGTGAGTCAGAGAAAGACAAATACCATATCATTTCCCTCAGATGTAGACTTTCAGAAACAAATGAGCAAAGGAAAAAAGAGACAAATGAAAAAACAGACACTTAACAACAGAGAACATTACTGATGATTACCAGAGGGGAGATGGGGGAGGGGGGAATGAGGGGAGGGGGGGGAGGGGGGATTGGGGGGAGGTGAGGGGATGGGGAAGTGAGGGGAGGTGGGGAGAGGCAGGAGGGAGGGGAGGTAGGGGAAGGGGGTAAGGGGTGATGGGTTTGAAGAGCACACTGTGATGAGCAGTAACGTACAGAATCATTGAGTCACTATATCGTACACCAAAAACTAACACAACACTGCGTTCATTATGCTTTTTAAGACATGATCCGTCGTTCTACCCACTCAGTGAAAAGAAGAGATGTCAGAATATTTACTGATAAATCACCACGGTATCTGAAGCTTAGTCTCTAATGGTTCCTCTTTCTCTCCTGCAGAGAAACACACAGGCCTGTCTACACTGTGCGTGGAGTCTTGGATGGTGAACGTGTGGAAAGCATTCGGCCAAGGGGATTTAAGCCAAAGCACTATGGCCATACTCTTCTCAGCTCGGGAAATACTAGCACCTGAGCATCCTCAAGATGCAAAATAACCTCTGCCAAAGCTGTTCCTGATGGTGGCTCTCTCGGGAAGGGCAACCTCCAGGGACAGCCAGAGGGACAGCCAGTTCGCAAGTTCCAAAAGCTCAGGTTTGGTAACTCAGAGGGAGGATATGGTTCTTCCACTAGCAAGTTACTGGAGGTCTCCCGAGTCCATACGACATCAAGTTAGAACCGAAGCCTGTTCCCAGGATGTACAACCCGAGCTAGGTAGTCAAGTGTGGAGTGTCCATGTGACGGTGACATGTCGGTTGCTCCGGGGAAAGTCGTCTCCATCATTATCTGCTTCATTCACCCTTTTGAGGCTGACAGCTGCCCAGGTACCAATCTTGTGTAACATGTGATGCAAACAACTCTCGAGACACAGGATCTTTCCACCTGGTCCTACTCCCTGGTCACTGCCCCAAACCCATGCTCCATTCTGTGACCCACGATCAGATTTTTAAAAATAACAGGTCATGGGGCGCCTGGGTGGCGCAGTCGGTTAAGCGTCCGACTTCAGCCAGGTCACGATCTTGCGGTCCGTGAGTTCGAGCCCCACGTCAGGCTCTGGGCTGATGGCTCGGAGCCTGGAGCCTGTTTCCGGTTCTGTGTCTCCCTCTCTCTCTGCCCCTTCCCCGTTCATGCTCTGTCTCTCTCTGTCTCAAAAATAAATAAACGTTAAAAAAAAATTAAAAATAAAATAAAATAAAAAAAAATAACAGGTCATGAAATAATTTTTTTTTTTTTTTACTTAGGGAACTCATTTACTTATGGATACCGCATTCATGCTCTATGCTCTTCAACTCAATTCACTGCCCTGGGAATCTAAGCCATGTAAGATGAACATCAGAAGAACCTTCAACAGATGCTAAATCCCCACTGCATCTAGATTTAACAGTACTTATGTTTCCCGTAAACACCAGTGGCGGCCCCACCTGCCTATTTCATATTACGCTTGTTGAAAACTTGAGATACTATCCATGATGTTGTTTGCATGTTGGCTCTTTGTAGATTACTATAAACTCTTTCACCCATTACAGGAATACTGCCAAATGGAGAAATGAACAACTGCATATTTAATTCTTCACTTAATTACATACATTTTCGTAAAAAAGAAGAGCTGAGGTGGTTTTATTCTTAAGACAACAATCCATGATGAGATAGTCATCATTATGTAACCCCCAAAATATGGCTCCTTCAAGGAAGCAATATACATTTCCTGATGCACAGAGAACTGAGAAGTCCCAAATGGAGGTGCCATTTCATAAGCCTGTTGGTTTCTCTGGGCTTTGTTTCCTCACATGCACTGGCTGGAAGCTTCCATGGGAGACACCTGACAATGGGGACCCCTAAGTGATTTTCCATACTTCCCCCAAATGCAGAGGTAAGCACTTTAAACGCTCAAAACCCATCACCCTTTGGTGCCTGCAAACAAGATGGCGAATCTGGTATTGTCTTACAGATGTAACTGGAGGAATGAGGTTTGTGTGCCTGTCTTTGGATCCAGGACCCATAAATCTCGAGTGAGTTGAAAAGGCTTGTAAGGAGATTTCACGAGAGGCGGGCATTCTCATGGTCTGTTTGCTCCATCAGACATCTGTAGGCAATAGCTTACAATGACGTTCACAGAGCGTTACAAGTCACACGATACCACTTTCCCCCAGGATAACTCTGGAGAGAGACTGTTCCTCCTGTACCCTCGGCCTCCTGGTAAACTTTCTGCAGACACAATCAGCGTGAATTCAGGTACGCATATAATTTTCATTTCCATTTTAGCAAAATATCTGTTCTCTATCAGTCGTAACTTTGGTTCAAAAAAATTGCCTTTGTGGAGAAAAAAAAAAAGAATGGTCAATGTCTACACTATCAGTATAAATTATATCAGTTTACCTAGCTTGGGATTATAAGAACTCCTGGAAAACACTTCAGTTTTTTAAAAATTGTAACTTTCCTTTAGCAGTAATTCAAAAAGACAGGAAAAAAAAAGAGAGAGAGATCCATCCTTGATTTGAGCAATTCTACACAGATAAGAAAATCATAATAAAAGAGAATGGAAAACAAAACCTAAACCAAAATGCACAGAAAACAAAATTTTGATTTGTCGTATTAACACTTCCATAGCGTTTCAAGAGACTCATTCAGGAATTCTATAAAACCTTGGTGACATTTCATCTCAGATAAATCCCTTCTCTTTTTGGCTTCAGATAGTTACAGAAATCAAAATATTTCCAATAAGGGCAGTTTCTTCTAATGTTTCTTTATTTTTGAAAGACAGAGAGAGAGTGTGTGTAAGCAGGGGAGGGGCAGAGAGAGAGAGGGGGAGACACAGAATCCGAAGCAGGCTCCAGGCTCCGAGCTGTCAGCACAGAGCCTCATGCTGGGCTCGAACTCACAAGCCATGAGATCATGACCTGACCCAAAGTCCGATGCTTAACTGACTGAGCCACTCAGGGACCCCAGGGCAGTTTCTTGAATCAACCTCCACAGTGGTATGTGTATAAGAAAAATACATGTGTCACCTGCTTAATTATTTTCTGGATGATTGCTGTCCAAAAGCATCCTGTTCACATTTGTACTCTTATTTCCAAACATATGAATATGCCCTTTAAAAAATTTTTGCAAGTGGGGCACCTGGGTGGTTCAGTCAGTTAAGCATCCAACTTTGGCTCAGGTCATGATCTTGCAGTTCATGGGTTTGAGCCCCACGTGGGGCTCTGTGCTGACAGCTCGGAGCCTGGAGCCTGCTTCAGATTCTGTGTCTCCCTCTCTCTCTGCCACTCTGCTGCTTATGTTCTGTCGCTCTCTCTCAAAAATAAATATTTAACCCTTTTTTTGGAAGTAATATCTGGTGCATGTTTTATTCTTGGTAACTCTTTATATTTTGCAGAGCATCAGCACTGAAAGCCATCGGGCTGAAACTTACTGCTCCTCAAGAGGATGAGCACACAAGAACCCAGGAAGGCTGGAGTGAAATGTGTGGCTTTGAGTAGCAAAGCTGAGCTCTTTTTCATTTCACAGCAGAAGTACTGATCTTGAGCAAAGCATTTCTTCCAAGAAACTGGTGCTTGAGAAAGTAATTTGTTTTTATTCCAAATTTTGCATTTAAGTATCAAGAGTCAGATCATTTGAGAACTCAAAACCATAAGGGTATGGCCTTAAGTCCTCAAGTGAGAGCAGTGCACCATGGGACATGCACCTCTCCAAGCAGAGGGACACCAGAGTCCCAACAGTAAGGAGCCCATGAGGGGATAGCACAGCACCATGCCTGCTGGTGGGGGTGGGCATGGCTGCCTCATATCAAGAAGCAGATGAAATTTCCCTTCCGCACCTGAAACTCTTGTAAGAGGCAATCCCTGCCTCCAAAGGGGAAAATATATATGTGGGAGAGTAAGATAGCGGGATACGGGCCGTCTTCTGACTCTCTGAGGGCCCCAGAGACATACGGCGGAGCTTTAGAACAGAAGAGGGCTGAGGGCCCAAGATGGGGCTGACAATTCAGCTGAAATGAGCAACAGATCACCTCCTGGAAAGTGACACCTCTCTGAGAGAAAGGAGTTCAAAAGACAGAAAATGTACTGGCAAGTTCACCTTCAGGAAGTGGCAGCTTTTCGACTGGCACAATGGAAGTTTGAAACTAAGCCGCAGCCAGATCTGGGAAAAGAAAAAGAATCTGTGTGGGCTTGAATCTTTGGTTCCACTTTTAACTTGCTAGAAATGATATAAAGAATAAATGAATTAACTTCTCAAAAAGTTAGTTTCGTCACAGCAACACAGGGATAAAATGATACCTAAGTTTTAAGGTTGTTGGTAGGATTTGATGTCATTACACCGTGAAACACATCACAGGTGCTCACTCAGTTACATTGTACGTAATACTACGGTTGCTATCGTTATAACTGTTAGAAAAAATAAGCCTGGGGGCGCCTGGGTGGCTCAGTCGGTTAAGCGTCCGACTTCAGCTCAGGTCACGATCTCGTGGTCCGTGAGTTCGAGTCCCGCGTCAGGCTCTGGGCTGATGGCTCAGAGCCTGGAGCCTGCTTCTGATTCTGTGTCTCCCTCTCTCTCTGCCCCTCCCTCGTTCATGCTCTGTCTCTCTCTGTCCCAAAAATAAATAAACATTAAAAAAAATTAAAAAAAAAGAAAAAAGAAAAAATAAGCCTGTAATGCAGGTAATTCACTGTGATCACTGTGTCTGAATTTAATTAGATGACAATAATTTGTGCCCATCATCTTCCCTGATTAGCACACAACAATTATTACACAAAACAAAACTAACAGAGCATTCCGATCTACTTGCGGGGATGATGTTAACTGTAGACAGATTATTTTGCAATGGCAGACACAAAGATCATGACTACGCATGCCCAACCATTCCAAGTGGCCCATGGTTTGTCAAATTAACAACCCGCTTCATGACAAACTTGGGTATAAGAAAATAGGACTTGGTCTGAAAGCCGTCTAAGTCTGTGCATTTCATGACAGTGGTCTTGCACACCATTGCAGAATCAGCATCTGTTTTCTAACAAGACCCCAGGTACGCAGTGGGCACATTAGTGTTTGAGAAGTGCTGGCCTAGACCAGCCTCCATGTTAGCATTCTAGCACTGGTATTACACCAAGCAGGAGAAAGAGTTCTGAACGTGTCTTTGAAAAAAGCTTATTTGTACGGACTATAACAGGAATAGATCAAATATATAATAATAGTGGCAAAGTGGGGGGGGCGTCTGGATGGCTCAGTTGGTTGGGCAGCCGACTACGGCTCAGGTCATGATCTCGTGGTCTGTGAGTTCGAGCCCCGCATCAGGCTCTGTGCTGACAGCTCAGAGCCTGGAGCCGGCTTTGGATTCTATGCCTCCCTCTCTCTCTGCCCCCTCCCTGCTTGGTCTCTGTCTCTGTCTCTCAAAAATAATAAGCATTAAAAAAAATTTAAATACTAGTGGCAAAGAGGAACAATTTGAGACACAGAAGTGCATAAATAAAACCTGAAAAGTTAGGTTAATATCATGAAGAAGTAAAATTTATACTGTAATGGTCATTTTTGTTCTAAATGATGACATTGCTTTCAGAAATCAGTAACAGTAAGGCCGCAGTTCTGAGAATAAAATGTATGTACTCTTTTTTGCTGTCATTACTTTTCTGTAATTACGGGCTTTGTCACCAAACCTAGACACTACAAGTTATAACCTTCCCTGAGAAAGTACATGGACAACTTCTAGTTTGGGGTAATTAAAATAGTTTGCAAATAGGGGCGCCTGGGTGGCTCAGTCAGTTGAGTGTCTGACTTCGGCTCAGGTCATGAGCTCACGGTTCGTGAGTTCCAGCCCTGCATCAGGTTCTATACGGACAGCTCGGAGCCTTGAGCCTGCTTCAGAGTCTGTGCCTCCCTCTCTCTCTGTCCCTCTTCCAGTCACACTCTCTCTCGCTCTCGAAAATAAACTTGAAACCATTTAAAACAACAGTTTGCAAATAAACAATTCCAGCATCTAAGATATAAATTCATTTTCAATTATCCAATGAAACTCATTCTGTTAGAGTTAACCTGATCAACCCCCAGGTGATGATTATTCTAATACGTCATCTCTTAAGATGTTTAGAAAGTGCTGCACAGGGAACACGTCAGTGGCCATACATAGTAGAATCCCTTTATGAGTACACCTTGTTCCCTCCCAGGACAGGGAACATATGTTCTTATCTGTCTTTACCCACAGCGTTCATCACTGCCTGGCACATAGTGGGTGCTTAATTCAAGTTACTAAGTTAAAAATGCATGGTTGCAGCAGATTCTATGGGCTTTTCTGCCTCTGTGATGGTTTTTGGTAATGACCTAAGTCATTAATCGCGTTATACGAGGGACTGGAAAAAGGTGACGTTTTCCAAGTGATCTCAGCTTATCGCCCCTTGCTTTAATTTTTATGATTTGTATGCATGGCTTGTTGAATTCAGTTAAATCTGACACCGTTCAGTTAAGATCTGATAGCATCTTACAGGAGTTCTAACACCTATGACACCAGCAGCAGAGAGGCTGGTGATGGTTCGAAGCTCTGAGAGAGGAGACAGAGGCCGGGCTACCGCTCACCTTGGCGTCCACATGCTCAGGCGTCTGAAGTCCCTGCCACCCCCAGGCTTTGCTGCCGGCTACAGCCAGGGCCTTTATAACCAATCACTAACCAGCATCTTCCTGAAGCCTGGCCCTCAAGCACATTGCAAAGTCAATTAGGAACAACCCGTGCTCCATCCTGCATTCAGAGTAACATACAGCCAGGCAGTTAGGCACTGTAAGTGGTATTTTAAGTTGTACTGGTGTGTTTAATCTTGCTTTCTTCCCTAGGAGGAATACATGATTTCTGTTTTCCAAGGACTTGTCACTGCTTCATAATCAACCAGCCTCTATTTCTTACGGTTTTATTTTTCATGTCATGTCTTTTTTTTAATATTAAAAATTTTTTTTTTAATGTTTCTTTATTTGTGTGTGGGTGTGAGAGAGAGAGAGAGACAGAGCATGAGCAGAGCAGGGGCAGGGAGAGAAGGAGACACAGAATCCAAATCAGGCTCCAGGCTCTGAGCTGTCAGCACAGAGCCTGGTGCGGGGCTCGAACTCACCAACTGTGAGATCATGACCTGAGCCAATGTTGGATGCTTAAGCCACCCAGGTGCCCCTCATCCGGTGCATTTTAAGGTTTAATTTCTTCCAATTTACAAATGATCATTTACAGTTTTATCTTTCACCTTTGATACTATGGGAGATTTTCACGTGAGAGTGCAACCAGAATAAAACCAAGACAAAGACTTTCTGTTTAGTATGGGATTCATTTGTGAGAGTTTAAATAACTTTCACATGTTATTCACCTGAAATGTCAGCTCGCTATGAAATAAGAGCTAAAAAAAAAAAAAAAAAAAATCCAGGCAACCAGATTACATGCACATTGTCCACTTAGGCACAAACAGGTCAACAGACCCCCTCCCCCCCCACCAATTCCTTGTTACTTAATGGAGACCAAATGAAAAGTCTGATGTCTGCCTCTGA